TTTTTTTTTTTTTTTTTTCCTCCTTTCCGGGTGCTACAATAACAATACACACGAATAGATGGACTGCACCACCAATGGCGAAGACTAAAAGAAGCTTTAGGATTTTGTTGCAATGATATCAAGGTGGAACACGAGAATAATGGGAGCAACAGGAGAAGGAAGAGACGTGTGGCAACGAGAGTGAAAACAATGCAAGAAAGCTTGGGTTTTCTAGATTTTTGGTATAAAACTAGAGACAGTTGTGAGCCATGGAGAGGGATTTGGAGAAAATGAAAAGCGCATTGGTTGAGAGGGAGAGAGAGGAAATTGAAGGTTGGTGATGACAAAAAGCTTTGTGACTTTCTTTGTTCTTAGAGATTGAATCATATAAAGAAATAAATTATAAACTAAAGTTATTTGATATTGGATCATATTCTTAGAGAACGTTGATTTGCAAAACGTTCAACAATTCGACTAACTTTCTTTATAATAACTTTAGAAATGAAGAAAATTTTGGTGAGAAATGGAAGAGTATAGAGATTTGTAGCACAAAGATAATTACGAAATAATATATATATATATATATATATTTGTATTTTCAATAATAAATCATTATTTTTTAACTAATTTATGATTTAAAAATTAGAAAATTTGGGTGAGAAACTAAAAATTATCAACAAATTGGAGATGAAGGTGGAAAATGTAAAGAGAAGTAGAATGAACCAAATATATTCACTAGAATTAGAATCAAAAGAACAAATATAAAAAGAGATAATATACAATAAAACCAACAAAAAAAATTCTTAATTTCTAACAATTATAATGTTTAAACAAATCTTAATAATTAACTTAAATAACTTTAAAGTACAAAATAGTAATAATTATTAAAAAAAAACTACTTTAATAATTAAAATTTTCTTTTTCTTCATCATTTCCACAATAACTTATTTGAATATTATTATTATTATTATTATTAAATATTATTTTAGTATTTATGGGTAAATTAGAATTTGTTATATCTAAATATATCCTTAATTAAAAGTTATCTATACATCCTTAATAATGTATATTTTTTTATTATTTTAAATATTTTTTTAATTGACTTTAATAATAAGTAGTAGATAAAAATAAAATAAAATATTAGATTAATAATTTTTTTAATTGACTTCAACCGGATAAAAAAAATAAAATATCGAATTATTAAAATTAAAAGTTAATTATTGAAATTAAAAAATATATCCGTGTCATCAATTAAGAAGTCAACGACAGACAAACAGATCCTGTTCCGATGAAACAGTTCGAAGTATAATCGGTAATACGAGAAAAAAAGTGTTCGATTGTTAATCCATGTAATAATCTCAGTTAGCCGATACAGGATCTACTCTGTACACCACCTACATGCTTATTCTCAAACCCAGACACTGCCTGACTGAAGACTGATATATATATATATATATATCTATGTGTGTATCAGAGCCAAAGTGCACCGGCGTCTTTGAGGAGAGGTACTAAGGACCCATTAATATGGCAAGCCATGAGCGTCTGGACTCCGCCGAGGAATTTACCACCCACAAAGATCGCCGGCACCGTCTGCTGGCCGTCGGCGGCGAGATGAAAGAGGAGACTGTGGATGTCGGAGCCGGCGACGTGGTGATCGAGCTCGATGATGGTTGGTCCGACGCCGAGGCCGAAGAGCAGACGCTTAGCCACCGTGCACATGCAGCATCCGCTCGTGCTGAAAACCACCACCGCGTTCTCCGCCGCGAGCTGCCGGACTAGCTCGTACGTAGTTTCCATCCGCTTCATCGTCGACGGCGTTGCGACGACGTCGTTTTTGATCGCCACCCTGCTCTCCATTTTCATTCCTGCTGATTTCTTGGACACCTGCATTATATAACTACACAGAGAGAGAGAGAGAGAGAGAGAGAGAGTGATGAAGATATATATATATATATATATATATATATGTATATGTATATCTTCAGAGAGAGATGAAGATATGAGAAGTTGGAGGAGAGGATCTTTTAGGTCAAAGGAAAATCATTGGTGCAGTGGAGAGAGGGGAAACCAACCAGGACTGCAACTGTTTTTTTTTTGCAAATGTGACACAACAGTGGTTTTTATAGTATGGCCACCACTGAGTTATATATAATATCTTATATATACCATATAAGTAATAAAAGTAAATGTTGGTAAATTCTTTACTTACAAAAATTGGTCAACTCCAGTCAAACTATTTTATTTATAAAAAATTTAAAAGTTTTTTTTCTAAGGTTAAACGACAAAAAATCGAACTCGGCTCATTTGTTTTTATCTCGTGTTGATCTTTATAGGTCTCTTAAATTTTCTATATAATCAAGTCGAATTCTTTTTTTGATTTGCTATTTGTATGTAATTTAGTTTTACTCTTAGTTTTTAATAATTAGTGTTTTTGTTCAATTAATTAAGTTACGTCACTTTAAATTCTGATACTGAAACAACTTTTTTCTACATGATATTCTCGTATATTTATCTATGATTTTATCCGCATCGACAAATCTTTTTGTTGTACCACTTCTCCTAACATTTTAAATGTGTTCCACTCTTAATTTTTTTTTCATTTGTCCCGGTAATGCTCACGAGCACTTCTAAATATATAACTACCAACCTTTTCTTATGCCTTGAACAAATATTCTCGAAGTCTTCAAGACCTAACCGTATCCTCTAACACTAGATAAAATAGTTTGTGGGTTATTATATCTCTTTTTAAAAATTAAACTAATATCGTATTACGATTTGAGTTCACTCTTTCAATAATTTAGTATCTGAGGTCTTAAAAATACTTTTAAACCAATTTGGTGAACATTCCTTAAAAATCCTCTCCATCCTACGATGATCATCCTATTTTATGTTTGATCAAGTAAATGTTCTCCAAATATCGTTTATTTTTTCTAATCCATAAATCACGAATGAACTATTAGACATCACTACATTGTATGAATGATTGACCCTATCCTTCGATTCCCACTAAGAAGTCATTAAAATCCCTTACTATTAATCAAGATCCTTCGATGGTTTACACAATTCCCTTACCTTCACCCACCTAATGTCACGTAATGTTCTAGTAGCACCCAAAGAGACAAACCTCACCGTGAAACTAACCTAATATCTAGTTTCACTTTCATGCGAACTAGTTAGGTTGAATCACTCTGAAACTTTTATTTCAATATGCAAATCCTTCTAAAACATCCATATCTTTTAAAATATCGTTCTACAATCACCCAAAAAGTTGAGTGAGTATTTCATACACCTAACCTCCTCAAATACATAGCTTTCACGTGCTGAAACTACCGTTATGCCTACATTATTATACTAATGATATCATGTATAAAGTAATATGTAAATATTTACTAAGATGTAAGTTCTCTCTCAAACTTACAATCTGTCTAACTTTATTTCATTAACACTGATTTCTATTTCGAATATATACATTTTCTTAAATAATAAATAAAATACAATACGAGATTCTGTTTAGAATAAATTAATTTTACCTGTAAAATTTATTCAAAATGTATATATACATATATACGCTACGAGAGAGAAAATATTTTTTTTTCACAAAATGAGAAAAATTTAAGTTGTTAGAGAATTATGAATGAAATTGAGACAATATATTATGAAGAAAACTCAAGAGGTAAAACTAGAATAAAGATGGAAGAAAATATGTGTACAAATTAATAAACATGATTTGATTTAAAACTTAAAAAGTGGTAGTAGTTTATTTTAAAAAGTATATGTGTGTGTATATATATGTATATATATATGTGTGTGTGTATATATATATATATATATATGAATTGGTGGGTTTTTCTTCAAGAGATAAAACTAGATAGGAGAAAATATGTGTACAAATTAATGAACATGATTTGATTTAAAACTTAAAAAGTGGTAGTAGTTTATTTTAAAAAGTATATGTGTGTGTATATATGTATATATATGTGTATATATATATATATATATGAATTGGTGGGTTTTTCTTCAAGAGGTAAAACTAGAATAAAGATAGGAGAAAATATGTGTACAAATTAATAAACATGATTTGATTTAAAACTTAAAAAGTGGTAGTAGTATATTTTAAAAAGTATATGTGTGTATATATATGTATATATATATGTGTGTGTGTGTATATATATATATATATATGAATTGGTGGGTTTAGACGCATGTTGTTTTGTGCAGGCAGGTTGTTTGAACATGAAGGGGCAAAACAGAAAAGGCATGTTTGTATTTGACGACGTTTCACTCATTAGTAAACGGCTGTTATGTCGACAAACCGACAAAGAAGGACAGAAACGCCGTCGTTTGCTGCACAGCTAATCACAGAATCTGTTTCTTTTTTGTCGCGGCTTCCTTGGAGACAGACATACGCCGTCAGTGTCTGTTGATTTTTGAAATGAAATTTATGGGTCAAAGATCGTGCTCTGTAAAAGCCTGCAACTTTCTGCTTTGCATGACTCATGAAGAAGCTACGTACATATATATATATATATATTTATATACATATCTCCTGGAAATTCAACTTCTCTCCATCAAAATCCAATTTTTTTTTTTTTTTTGCTGCTAATCAAATTTTATCTTTCTTAAATATTTTTTTTCTTCTTATTTTTGTTTTTGTTTTATTTTATTTTCTCCTATTTTTGAAATAATTAGTTTTTGATTATCGAGCGATTGTGAAGTATGTTGCATGTTTAAATTCGGAGCATGTTATTGACCTTTGGGCATGTTCGGACAATCTATGTATAAAATGTTCTTGATCTCGATAAGGCAATATAATTAAGTAGTAACTTTATCTTTTTATCCTTTTGTTGAAAATCCGTAAGAGATCGGATGCATATCATTTCTAGTAATACCTTATATTTAATTTTAATGTAATTTAAGATTTAATTATAAATATAATTTTTTAATTTTTAATTTTAATTTAGAGTAAAAAAATGAAATAAAATTGATGAATGATGAAATTGAAAGCAATTTCGGAAAAAAAGAGTAAAAATTTAGATTTTGGGAATATTTTTGAAAAAAAAATTAGAAATAAGGGGTCAAAATACAATTTAGAAAAAATTACAACGTAGGATACCTGGTCAGGAGCCCCGACGAATCAGGACACGCCACGTGATAACGGGCACTGACGTGGTGCCATGTGGGGAGTCACGCGGGCGATCTATGTGCCCGTTCGGACGGCCTGGATGCACTCCCTCCCAAACGCGATCGAACGACCATATTCAAACGCGATCGAACGATCCAGAGTGGATCACGATGGACGACCCAGATTGGATCGCGATGAACGGTCTAGATTCACTCTCTATTTAATCGTGATCGAACAGTACATATCAAACGTGATGGACGATCTAGATAAAAAACGGACGGATATAGATAACCCCTATCCGCACCAAACTCTAACCCTAACTGCCAGACTCCCTCGCCAGAGAAGATGACCCAGCCATCGGGGAGCAGACCGCCACCACCACCTGCCGGTGAGTTTCGGTTTTTGTGTTTTTAGCACACTAAAGCCCTTTAACG